CTGGAAGTAACTTTCAGCCCTGGGTTGTTTGGTAGTTGGTAACCTGGAAACATAATTGCAACAACAAGCCATCCAAACACAGTTATTCTTCTGAGTGCTCATAATGAAAGTAATACCAGGAGGGATCAGCCAGAAATTGACTAGACAGTCCTTGCAAACAAAATTGGCTTCTAGTTTATGGTTATTGCTAATTGGGGTACAGTAATTCTGAAGCATGTTTAATAAAACTTAAGAAAAAATAATTCCACAGTCTCTGGTAATGTGTCGCTGAAGACTTTAGCTGGGATTAACACTGGATGAAGTATCGTTCTTTTTCATTTGATGGTTTAAGTAGCTGATTTTTTCCCTCTATATTTAAGAAAGTGTAAGAGACCTGCTTTCTTAAACAAATGTGCTTTTTTCCCCCTTCAGTATTTCATATCACGTAAAGCACTATGATTAAATGCAAAGAAACACAGCATGGAAATTTGAACACAAACAAGCCCCTTCCCTGACTCTATTCATTCATTTCTTCATTATAAATAAAATGCTGGTGGAATAGAAAATAGTAGAGGGAAGACTCAATGTTTCATGTGTGATTGATTTTGTGTCATCTCATGGATTCCTTGAATTATTTCTATTGAATGAAATTAAGGCATACAGTAAGTTAGGCCTCTTGTTGTAAGACCTAGATTAATCATAGAAATAGGTTCATTCCAATTTTGGGGTGGTAGAAGGAGTTTCTGACTCTCTAACATTAGGTGGATAATGTTGTTTTGCCTCTGTTGTCAAACTGTCTCCATAGTTTCTTTCATTCCACATTATCACCATTATTCCTTACCCTACCTTTATAATTTTGAGATTGCAGGGTAAAAATAAGGAGTTGAAATGAAGCAGAAATGTAGTGGTATTTTTTCCAACGAATTTTAAAACAAACTTAAGTTGATAAAAGATTTAATTGAACTTTGTTTTTCTCCTTAATGTAATACTTTATGCTCAGGTCAGGAAAACAAACAAACAAACAAACAAGTAGCAAGCAAACAAGCAAACTTGATAAAGGTTTTCCAAGAAGTCTATCTTAGGTGCAAAAGAAGGGAGGGTAAACTTTCTCCTTTAATTGTGTTATTAATTATTTTGTATATGTCTCCCTGCTTTCTACACATCTGTATATAATCTGAGTAACTAAGCTTATTTTGCCTGAATAATCTCTCCAGACCTTAATTTATATATTTCCATCAGTAAGAAATGTTTTTATATGAATGCTTCAGTTTAGCATTGTTTCATTGAGAGATGGCATAGTGGAAAGAAATGGATTTTGGGAGCAAATAGATCTGAGTTTTAATTCTGATTCTGGGACCTAAAGTACAGTGTCCTCATTGGGAACTGGAAAAAAGTCATATCAGTCTTGGTGCTATAGTTACCAAGAAATACTAAGTGAATATCTACCAAGTGTCAGATGCTGAACTGGATGATTGGGATGAAAAATGAGAAACATGTGGCTCCTACTTTCCAGAGATTAGCTTGTTGTCTAGCCAGAATAATAAATATGCACACAAATAACCATAGTATAATGTGAACATCTACCACAGTGTTTAAGGCCAATGTACCAACGGGTATGCAGTTAAGATTACATGACAAGGGGATCAGAGAAGAGGCACTTGGAATGTAGCTCAGTCTTGGAAAATAAGTAGTTCAGTAGACTTACTGAGGGTGTGGTGAGAAGGCCGTGAACAAGGACATAAAAGCATAAAGTTTCATAGCTGTGTTGTCCACTAGTATGGACAGCCTCTGAGATGTCATAGGCCATGGGCCATAAACTTGACAGAAATGCACTCTGGCTTTAACAAGTCCCCAAAGCAGTGACTCTCAACTATTTCCCTTCTCCCCAAAGATATTCATATATAAGTTGTGGCCCCAGTTAGTTGAATTCATAAACATTGCATAGTCAGATGTCTAAAGCACAGCTAGTTCAATATCCCTTGTAGCCTACTTTACAGGAATCTAAGCTCTTTATTACCTGGAGATCTAATAAGCTGTAAAGGTAAATCTCCACAGGGGAATCCACTTTAAAATCCTCAGTTGCGGATGACTCCGTGACAAAAGTGGAAGTCTGAGAATTACTCTGTGATCTGAGCAGTAAAGCTTGTCAAGTTTCTGTATATAAGGAGGAGATACATGGTCTTGGAGAAAGTATTCCTCTTTGGTTCTTGAACAGATAGCATTTATTAGACATATGTGACACACAAATTCTTCTCTTTCATTGTCAGGGAATGTATACACTTCACTTAAAAAGTAGTGTATGTTTTCTTCCTTGGAAATGGAAGAACATTAATCTAGATCTCATTTCCTTGTGCTTGCCATTTTAGCCATCTGTTGGAGAGTAACAAATGCTGGCCATTGAAGTGTAAATTAAGCTAAATATATATTAGGCAGAAAATAATACATACAAAGGGCAAGACAAATTAGCACATTGGCTAGGCTTTAAAAAGTTCTTTTATTTAAAGAGTATTCATTCTGTTTACTAGTTACATCCTATATCTTCATTATAAGTTTATAGTACTAATAGAGTGATTAAAACTGGATTGTGGCAGTGAAAACTAATTACATATGTGAAATTCAGACGCATCACATGCTGCCAGTTTCTAAAGACCCTGAAGGTATTAGAAGAAATTAGTTTCAAGTAAGTAGGTTCACAAAGAGAGTGTCATTAGAAATTAAAACAAAATGCTTATGTAGAGTAGAAAGAGCTCAGGATTTATAGTCAAAAGTTCTGGGCTATGTTGTTTTATGGACTCGGTTTCCTCAGTTGTAAATTGATTATAACAGTACCCGTCCTAACCTAGGTTTCCATTCAACTCAGCTCATCAAACACATGTCCAATTAATTGTAAACTCTGACAGTCCAGGGGTCCTGACTGACTTGTTCATAGTCATGTGGAATACTCCACAGATGTTTGTTGTGGTTGCCTGCAATTGTGCCAGGCACTGGACTGCACGGGAGGAATGAGGATATAGTAAAACACAGTCCCTGGGCTCAGAGAGTGAGCCATCTATCTGGGAAGTCAGTGGTCAACAAATACTATAACTAGAATACAGACAGCATAGTATGGATTAGAGGATGTAAGTGAAAGTTCTTCATACATACTTATGTTTTTTTTTTTCGTCTGCTAAACTTTGGCTTCTTTTTCATATTCATTTTTCTTTATTGCTAATCTATATGTCACCCAGCTCTTAAAAATCTTTGTGTGATTTTCAATTTTAAAGATCATTTATAGTAAACTTTAAAATGTTGCTTTTTACTCTCCTGGGAGTAAGAAAAGATGGCCTTTTGTTGGTTGCTATATTTTAAAAATGAAGATTTATTTTATTTATCATTAGCTTGAATCAAAAAGGGTAATAATGAATTTATTGGCAAAATGAAAAGGGCTGATTTAATATATTTTAACTTTAAATGATTTTGGATTAGGCCGCACTTTGATTATTCATATCCCTTCTCTTCTCCATGAACAGGAAGAATGGAAGTTTTGTGTAGGTGTGCTTGCTAACAAAATTGCAAATTATGCATAGGTACATATTCTTCTTCAATTTTCTTCCTTCCTTCCTTCCTTCCTTCCTTCCTTCCTTCCTTCCTTCCTTCCTTCCTTCCTTCCTTCCTTTCTTTCTTTCTTCTTCCTTTCTTTTTTTCTTTTCTCTCTCGTTTTGTTTCTTTTTCTTTTTTTTGAAATTCTGTGTGAAACTTGATCAGCAATTTAAATTCTATATTCCTACATATAATGGCAAGAATGAAAAATTATACTAGTTTGTGGTCTGGGATTCAACATGGGAGTGGGAAAGAGAGGCCTGAAAAACTAGCAAGTAGATATTATGGTAGTAAGAATAGGGATGTTTTCAGTCTTCTTAATTTTATTAAAATTAAGATGTGGTAAAATAAAAGTGAGTCATCTCACACTTATAAGTATGTGCTTGTTTTTTGTAACTAGGCCTTGCTATCATGCTAAGGAATAATTTAGGCAGAGATATGAGTGAGATGACAAAGAAGAAAGAGGCAGAGTAAGAAAAATGTTTTGGATTTTCTCTAGTAATTTATTTTAAAAAATAATAAAAATCCACTCCACCTGCTAAATGTACTTTGGAATTACAAAAATTTTTGTGGAACATATTTGTCAGAAACTTCTGGACTAGAATATGGTGCCAGTGTACCAGAAATTCTTGATTCATTCTCTGTGTAATAACTTTGTAGAGGTGAGGATACCAGGACTCCCTGGTGATGTCTTCAGGATATGAGGGACATCTGGTCTCTCAGACTGTCCTTGCAGATGGGAGCCAAGGTCTGAGTTATCCTTCCAAGGTGGAGAATTGATTGAGGCTTCAGAGTTCCTTCTTGGGGCATCATGACCTTCCTTCCATGCTGTGTTTCCTATCACTAGGAGGATGTTATGATTTATTATTTACTGTAATGCAGAAACTGTTCATGGAGTAATTAAAGACAGTGGCCTGCAAATTTGAGAAGAAAATGTGAGGAAGTGGCTGTCGTGCTCCCTCACTCCTGATGGAGTGCTTGAGTTTGGACCAGGCAGATCTGGAGATTCTGGTTTTGGATTATTCCAAGAGGCGAGATTCACTTCAGGGACCTCCTGATTCCGAAGCTTTCCCTTGGACAGACAGACTGGGAGTAAAATGAACTTGGCCTTATTTAATTGTGTTTGATGGGAACCCTTTTATTTTCTTTATCTTGCATTGTCTTTGATTTAGTTGAAATATCTCAGACACTAAAGTGCCAAGGCTCTTTAATAAACTACATTCACATAAGCAATCCAGATAGAGAAGGAAGGGAAATATGAAAATGATGGGAATAAAAGAGAAAACAGGTTTTGATGTTCCTGCTAACAATTATTTACAAGTGAGACACAAAGTATCATAAACTCGGGGTTTTTTTTTTTTTTTGGAAAAAAGAGAAAACAGGTTTTGATGTTCTTGCTAACAATCATTTACAAGTGAGACACAAAGTATCGTAAACTCGGGTTTTTTTTTTTTTTTTTTTTAAAGTTCTTAGACCAAATGCAGATTTTATTTCTTCAAGTGTTTTCCTTAACAGACTTGCACTCTCCTTAATTTTCTGTTCTTGGTGAATGTATTTCACTGAGGGCAGGCTGCAGATAAGCTCCCAGTGGGCTAATCACATAAGGAGGGTCCCAGTGCCATTGACAGTCGTGAGCCATTATTACTTTCCGAGGTTTTCTTATGCTTTTAGTTAAGGAAAAAACCTCTCTGAACCTTGAACATTCTTCTTTGTCTACATCATGTGCTTTGACCTCCTGGATAGTGCAGTTTTGATGTGGAGGTGAGGTTCCTTTGACCTAGTTCTACCCTAAAGGAATGCAAATATTTTCCCAATTAAGCTAGGGTTCACTGGTTAACAACAAACCATTGTTTCTTATTGTTCTGAGCTAGTAAGTCTGGTATTTGAAAAAAGACCTCCCTCCCGCTTTTTGCATATTAATGACAAAAACCATGACTAATCTTCAGGAGATAATTGTGCTTTCTTCTGTTTTAGTATTGCAAGAAATAGTTCAGTGTCAGATTTAGCTTGACTTTTTCTTATTCTTTTCAACTTGTCTCTTGGCTTCACAAAGCAATAGAGAGTCAAGTTTCTTTGAAACTAAACCCCAAACCAAATGCAATTACACAACAGCAGTATATAAATTTATCCTAATTACAAATGAAAACTATTGTTGGGTTTCTCAGGAGGTGTTTTTTTTATTACATTTTAAAGGCAGAGTTGGTTGTGGCTGATTATTGAGAGAAAACAGGGCGAGAGAGGTGAAGACAAATCAAGGGAGGCCTCCTATGTATCAGATTTTCAGTCATGATAAGGGGTATTAAACATTACATTTCTTTAACTTTTTATTTTGAAATAATTTTAGACAAAAGTTGCCAAATAGTGCAGAGAATTACTTATACATCTTACTTCACCCAGCTTCCTCTGTTACCATCTTATATAACCAAGAAATTGAAAGCAGAAAATTAAATTGATACGATCACCTAATTTACAGATATTATTAGGTCAGCCCCAATGGTAACAATATTATTCAAATTTTCCCAGTTTCCAGACTAATGTCTTTTTTTGATCAAGGATGTAATCCAGGATCTCACACTGCATTCAGTTGTCATGTTGCCTTAGTATCTACTTACTGTTACTGTTCTCTAGTTTTTTATGACCTCAAGAACTTTGAAGGTCTGTTCTTTTGTAGGATGTCCTTCAGTATGGTTTTGCCTGATGTTTTCTTGTGATTGGGTTGAGGTTCTTTATTTTTTGGCAAGAACACCGGGGAATGATGAAGTGCCCTGCTCAGTGCATCATGTCAGAGGATACTGTTGGGGAAATATAATTTAAAACAAAATCTCTCAATCTAGAAATCCTCTCTAAAGATAAGTAGAGAAAGAAAGCACTTTTATTATTGAATAAGCATTAAACCAGAATATGATGCACATCACAGGCAATTCACTGAGAGATTGCCAAGACAGAAAGAAATCTTACTCTTTTATATAGCCAAGCAGATGCAACCCACTACATACATTTTTTTCCGAGATAAACTATAATCAGTCCTCAAGTAGAGAACTTGACAGGACCATTTTTCATAATTCACCCTAAATTCACATGGTAGTTGGAATGACCATCTGTGTTAGCTAATTGGCTTTATCCAGAAGATAAACTATTCATAGCTTTATGACAGGAAGTAGTTTTGCAAGTTGGAGCATGGTGCCCACCAAAGATAGGCTCCAGTCCTCCCACAGAAACTGGGAAATAAGGGTACTGAAATAAGGGTACTGTCTCCCTTGATTTTTCCGTCCTAGGTCCTCGAGAACGACATTCCTAGGTCATAAAGCTGACAAAAGGATATCTGATCTTCAAAAAGATTTTATAGACATTTCAAAGAGAGGAGAAAGTACTTACAATTGCAAGTTTTCTAAAGTAAATGCTCTGAGACAAAGGTGGGTGAGGGGGACTCTCCTATTTTCATTAGGGAGAATTAATCCTCTTAATTTATATTTGTCCTTAGAGTACATGATATTATGTCTTCTTATGGATGATATTAGCTTTGATCAAGTGGTTAAGGTGGTGTCTGCCAGGTTTCTTCACTGCAAACTTACTGTTTTTTTTCTTTGTAATTAATAAGTACCTCGTGGGGAGTTAATTTGAGGCTATGGAAATATACTACTCCTCATCATTCAAGGTTCCGCCCACAAATTTTATCATTTGTGAATAGTTCTTGCCTGTAAAAACTGTTACTGCGGTGTTTGTCTAATGATCATTTTCCGTTTCCATTGTTCCTTCTAAATTTGAGTTGGAATTCTGCTGTACAGATGATTAGTCCTTTCTCTCACATTTATTTACTTATTTATTAAATCATTTCTTTATATCAGTATGGATGCATGGATATTTATTTTATTCTCTGAGTTAAAACTCAGTACCATCATTATTCGGTTTATTACTTAAATTATCCCTGCTTTGGCCACTGGGAACTCTTTCAAGATGGCCTTTGTGTTCTTTTGACATGGCCCTGACGTTTTTTGAACGTCATTACTTTCTAGCACCGCAAGATGTTCCAGACTCATTTTCTATTTTTCCTTCTTCAGCCCTGGAATCAGTTGTTTCTCCAAAGAACCCTAACTCTTTTTATGAGACAGTGGTATTTAGAAACCAATATCTGGGCTTTAGGCTCCTTGCTATTGAGAAGTCATTGCCTTTCGGCCCTCTCAGTAGATAGAGCCTTCTCTCCTTCCATTTCTACTACTTAGTTCCTTGTCTCACATTCTTTACAACTGGTTTCTACCCATTCCTTAGAAGAAAACGTTCTCCTTAGTTGTGTTTTATCTTTCCTGTTCTTATACTTTTTCCACAAGTAAGCAGATGCACATACTCACACATACATTTTTTTCTTTCTTACGTGAAGGGTCCATACAGTAAATATTCTTTTTTCTTTTGGTTGTTATTGTTAATATTCTTCTATATTGCAAGGTGCTTTCTTGGACTTTTCCCTAGTTGTATGGCTTGTTCCTCTAGATCTCAGGCGATTTTTCCTTGCTGCTGCTCCTTCTGTCCGTAACAACTTTTATTTGGTCGCCAGAGGGATGAACAGAGCCTCTATCATCGATGCCATTTTTTTTCTTCTTGTAGATATTCTTTGTCACTTTGTTTTCTTTCACTTAACGATAAGTCCTGGAAATCTCTGTATTGGTACATAAAGATCTTTCTCATTCTTTATTACAACTTCAGAGCCCTTCATTATATACTTTATATACATTATATACCATACTTTTCTCAATTATTCTCTTATGCGTGGGCATTTGGACCTCTAATATTTTTCAATTACAAATAATATTGCAATGAATAACTTTGCACATAAGTATTTTTGTACTGTTGGAGGTGTATGTTCAGAGTAGATTCTTAGAAGTGGAATTACTGGGTCAGAAGATAAGAGGATGCCAAATTCTCTCCTGTAAGCTTTTTACCCATGTGCATTCCCTCATCAATGTAGGAGTGTACCCGTCTCCACAGCTTTGAAAACAAAATTTGTTGTCATAATTTTTAATTTTTTATCATCTGGTAAGTGAGAAATGATACCTTGGTGTTGTTTTAATTTACATTTTACTAATTATAAGTTTGAACATTTTCATACATTCGGGTGTCATTTTAGTTTTTTTTTTTAGTGAATTTCCTTCTCATGTCTTTTCTGCATCTTTCTTCAGGTGTTTTGTCTATTGTCATTTAACTTTAAGAGTTCTTTATATATTAAGGAAAATAGTTATTTGCGGTATATGTTGTAAATATTTCCTCCTAGTTTATTGTGTTTTGAATTTGCTTATGGTGATTTTTGGTCATGGAAAATGATTTTTTATTTTTAATGTATTCGAATTTGTGTCTTTATTGAATCATAATTAGAAAACCTTTTCCCACACCAATGTTAAAGAGGAATTCACCCATGTTTCTTTCTGGTACTTGTATGGTTTTTATTTTTCACTTTTATATCATTATTCCATTTAGAGTTTACTCCTATTTGTGGTGTGGGATATAGATCTAATTTTCTTTTTTTCCAAAGATATGTAGGCTGCCCTGTCTTGGCATCATTTATTAAAAGTCCATCTTTGTCCCAATAATTTGAGATGCCAACTTTATCAAATACTAAATTACCAATGTACTACTTTGGTCTATTTCTGGGTTTTCTAGTTTATTCCACTGGTCTATTTGTCTATTCATGAACAAATACCATCCTGCTAAAATTAATTTTCTAAATTATAGTTTAAAATTATCAAAATAGTACTTTAGAATAAGTCCATCATTGAAAAATTGGATTTCATTTTTATAAATTCTTTTCCAGTTTTTCTCCATATATATGTACCTCTGTCTGCTTGTATGCATATGTGTATATATGTGGTATTCTTTGCTATGGAAATAGAAGTTTTTATTTTTTATTTAGTAAAATTTGTGTGTATATAGGCATATGCAGATATACATATATACTTAGATAATTATATTTAGATAATTTTTATTGTATTTGCTGTGTAATATTCTAGTCAACATCATTAGATATATAGCTTTTATCTGCTTCTGAATTATTTTTTCAGGATAAATCAGTGACATGTTAAGTGTCATAGGGCATTTTATGCCTCTGGGTTTATAATTCCTCAGAATTTTGGAAAACTATTACATTAATTTAAAATGTTATCAGTAATGTAGTTTCACCCCCAGTTTTTTAGCATTGGAAGAATGGTGTTTGATTATTCTCAAGAATATGTAGAAGTTCAGATTTTCTTAAAGTATTATGATTTGGGCAATATTTTGGCATGTGTTTCCTTACTTGTTTGTTGAAAGTGGTTCAAGCAATCTATTTGGATAAAGAAAGATAGAATTTGCTATGAACTTTCCAGAGTACCAGTTATATTGGATGTCCAGCCTACTGCACTGGTGCAGATGTGGTGATTTGCTTTCCTTGGGCTCATTCTTCCCTCTCCTTTGCCCAGCCAGCCTTTTCTATGCCCCTCCTGGGCAACAGAGACCCATGTGAGTCCTCTCCTGGTTGGAGTGGGTTTTACACCCTCCTTATTTATGACCCCATACATGCGACATGTGTAATTGTAAGACCTCAAAGTTCTGCCCTTGCTTAGCTTCTTGAGATTGGCTGCTTCTCTGATTCAAGAGAGGCTGGAAATCCTCTTTCTCCCTGACCTAACTGTCTCCTACAGGTCCTGCCTTTAGCATATAGAAGGTAAGGAGCTTATCTTAAACTTATTCTGTGTTTCCAACAAAGATTAATAATGCTAAGCAGAAAGAGTCATCTCCACTTCTTTATCTCCATTTCAAGTTCTTAACTCAGTTCAGTACAGTTCTGTCTTCTGCATTCCTCTCATAATGCTCTTGTCAAGCTCTCCAAGGGTGTTGACTAATTCAATGGGCATTTTCCTGACCTCATAGCAGTTGATTCTTCTCTCTCAGTTTCTGGAACACTATACTCTTTTGATTTACCTCTTACTTCTCTGCCCACTTTTCTTCTGTCTCCTCTGGAATTTTTTATCCTGTATTAGCCAATCCCATGACTTGATCCTGAGCTTCTCTCTTTGCCTTTGACTCCCTCCATCGGTGAGCTCATTCAGTCTCATGGCTTTATATACCATCTATATGCTGATTACCCCTACATTGTATCTCTAGCCTGATACATGAGCTCCAACCTGCCTACATGGATGACACCTCTATTTGGAGGTCTCATAAGCATCTAAGATGTACTGCCCAAAACTAGACTTTTTATTCTACATCCAGTGCAAATCTTTCTTCTGTCTCATAAGTAGCAACCTACCCACCTGCTCAAGATTTTTCTCTCACTATCCAGATGCTTCTTTTAGTAAGTTCTGATTTTTACTTCTAATATATATTTCAGATATACCTACTTTTTTCTTTCTCCTCAGTTATCCCCTAGGAAAAGCCACCACCATCTCTCACATGTATACCTCATCAGCCTCCTTTATGATCTCCTTGCTTCCAATCTTGTTTTCTCGTCTATTCTCCATTTAGCAGCGAGAATGATCTTAAAACCTGCAGTGGAGTCTAACTGCACTTAGGCTAAAATGTAGCCTTCTTTCTTTGGTTTATGAGGCCCTGCATTGTACCTGCCAGATTGTTCTTCTCTCTTCTTACCTACTGCACTCCAGCTGCTTCAGCCTCCTTTCCATTTCTAAGCACGCTCAGCATTTTCTCTCTTTATAGATTTTTATGCATATGTTGTATCTCATGACTGCTTCATTTTCTTCAGAGCACTTTTTATAACTTGTGATTACATATATTTTTACTTTGATTTCTTATGTTTTGTTTGTCACCGTCCCCATGTCTACTATACCATGGGCTTTGTGAGGACAGGGATCTTGACTTGCTGACCAATGAATTCTCAACACTTACTCTAGTACCTGGCATGCTGTGATAACTGTGATGATTGATAAATATTGTTGAATAAATTAACCTTTATGCTGACAATATGTAAACTATGAGATGTTCAGATGATTTTACTGTAGACAGCTTCAGATTTAGAATGTAGAATGCCTCTTAGGACTTAGCTCTTCCTTTGGAAGAGGAGTGTCACCCACAGGTGGCTTTCTTTCTTCTTAGTATTGGGGTGCTCCGTATGTCTTTAACTACTGAAGTTGTTGGTGTGGGAGACTTAATTCCTGGGAGGTTTCTTCATTCAAAAGTGCTTTACTAAGGAACTATGGAAACATGAATTCTCTGGGATGATTTATGGGGCTGAGTATTTGAAAAAAGCGTAGATAAATGTGTATTATTTTATATCCTGAATCCCTGGCCTTAGAGTACATTTCTGGAAATCAAAGTATATTTCACCAGTATTTCTATTAGAGAAGTATAATTATTATACAAAAATGAGAAAAAAGATCATGAACTTTTGAGGCCCGATTAATTTGAGAGGGAATGTAAAATTTTTAAAATTTACGTTATAGTACTATTCCAAGAAAAATGCTTTTCTCTTGACAGATCTCAAGCATGTAACACTAGCACATCAGGCAGTTTTAGTTAAGATTGGGATATGTGGAAACTACCTTTAAACCATTTAGAACAATGTGAGTCAGTGGTTTCATCAGTTTGCTTGTGAATAGTATGAAGGATTGCAATCATGTTAGGGAGCATTTCTGGTCTTCAAGACTTTTTTAAAACATTGATTTTTGTTAATTCAAATTTTATTACTATCATATTTCCTTGGAAAGTGTATGGTTGCAGATGTAGTATCTAGACAGCTGTTGAAACTAAAGTTTATAGATGATTTTATGAAAAGCCTACTTAACCGAGTCAATTTTATATATTTTTCTAACAGGATGAGAAGATATGTATATCAGATCCCATTTGGTGTGCATAGTGATGTTTTGTTTCCAATCACTGAGATCCCAGTTGCTTTATCAATTCTAAGAGACTTAGGGTTAGCAAGGTCATATTTTTCATAGTTTAATTTTAAAACCTTTTATGTTTTTTAAGGGTAACTTGTATTTTCATAACGCTAACATTTTTGGAGAATGTGAAATCTTGAAAGAAATTTAGAGATGATCAAAATGCAGTCCCTTCATCCTATAGCTGAGTAGACAAGGCTACACAGATTGGTGAAGTGACTTACCTCAGGTAACTCAGTGAAGTGTTGAACTTCTAGAGCTTGAAACTGACTCCCAGTCCAGTGCTCCTGAATAATGCTGTGCTACTTATTCATTCCTTTACTCCTTTACTGTCTCTCACTCCCGCATTCCACCCCACAGTGAGAGTGAAGGCCCCTGTCTGCCGTCTTCCGTACTGAGTTTTCAGCGTGGGGCACAGAGACAGTGCAGTGTGGATGAAAACTAATCGTTGCTAAAAACATTAGCAGCACTTCTCTTGCTATGTGTTGGTGGGTTAACGGCATTCTTAGTATTTATGCAAGAGTGAATGTAGATCATGTATAGTTGGCACATTCCTCAGTGGGAGTCCCGAGAACTAAACAACT